CCCCAAGGTGCTTTTTGGTCAGAATGTCTTGTCACTGCCCACACACCACAAACGAGGACGCCAGGCAATGTGACACTGTCCAGATCCCACACTTTCCTAAGGCCCAGACACAATCATCACACCCCCTCATGCTGGGGTCCACATCCCAACTCTTCCCGCTCTATGGATCTCCAGTCACCAGCTAGAAAACCAATCCGAGTCGCATCACCCCGCCCCCACCCCATCGCTTTAGTGTCCCCAGAGAAAGTCAGCATGGTAAAATGGCCCGTAAGACCCCACATAATCCGCTCTTAGCTAGACCACATCCCTCGCCGCTTACACCCTGCCCTGCGTCCTGCTCGTTCGCGGCCCTGCTACAGTTGAGGAGTTGGCATGTTCTCATAGGCCTTGGGCCTTCTCCCACTTGCTGCGCATTGTCACCCCATCACTTCGCCTGTCACGCGTGTAACACGTGTAACAGGGCATCACTGCCACCCCCCAAACCGCAGCTGTATTCCTGTAACTCAGACATTGTAACTGCGGTGCCTTGAATACAGACAAGGTGTGGTTGATCTTGCTTGCCCAGAGACAGACCACCCTTTCCCCACTGTCACAGGGTGACCCAGGGACTCATCATTCTCCAAACCTCTCTACAAGTGAGTGGAGCAAACCCCACAGCCAAGGTGTCGCGGCGCCGGACACGGACAGTAATCAAGAGCATGCCCTAAGCCATCGAGCAACCAGACAGCAGGGAAAAGGCTGAGGTCTGAGGCAGGGGTTGGGGCGGCTTCTCTGTGGTAGTAAACAGCAAAGCAAAAAAATCTCAAGAGGGAGCCAGCCATGGAGAAAATGAAGGAAGATTATTCCAGGTCGCGGGCACAGCAAGTACAAAGACCACGCAAAGGAATGAGCTTGAGCCTGCAGGCTGAGGATGACCTCGTGGTTGAACAGGTTCGACTGCGTGGGGGATGTGCTCGGGCAGGGCCAGGTCAGAAAGGCAGTAAGGGTCAATTGTGCAGGACTCTGTAAGCCAGAAAAAGGAGTTGTTCTTTACCGATTGCAAGTGCCCCGGGGAATTACAGGCGGTTCGGAATGTACTTTAAGGGTGCCCCCTGGTGGTGCTGTGTAGAATGACAACTGGCGGGGTAAAGGTGGAAGCCGAGAGGCTGTACTTGGGGAGCTGGGGTCTTCCTGGAGAGGTCCAGGGGGATGGAGATATGTGAGTGGACCTGGAGGTTGAGTCCATAGGCAGCGGAAGGGAGGACCCAAAGGTGATTTCTAGGGATAGGCAGGTACTGGGAAGTCCTAGAGAAGAATGATGTAGAAAGAAACAGGTACAGCGGGAAAGATGCAGATAAAGGTCAGGCCATGCTCCTCCATCTAAGGTCAAATGACACCTGGCTGTAAACCACGTGACATCATTCTTCCCCCAGCTCTGCTCAAGCCTAGCTTCCAAGTTTTAGGGGGCGGTGGGGGGACGGGGTCTTGTCAACTAAAGCAGCAGCAGCTCTCTCCAGAGTTGACTATGAGTAACCACAGCCCAAGAACAATGATCCAGGTCTCCCCGAATAACATGTTCCAAAGAGACAGCAAGCTTGTGAACTGCTTGTGGCTGCAGGAGCAGAGAAAGTTGTAAGGTAATATGCTTTTCAAATCCATTGGGTACATCAGGTCGCAGGCAACAGCTGCATGGCGGGGGCAGGAGGTGGGGAGGGCAGGAACACGCACGCAGACTCTGCTATAGGCTTCAGAAATACCCCACAGTACCCTTAGCCCTTTGGTTGGTGGGAACTAGGATTCTGTTCATATGTTCCAAATGATTTACCCAATGGTCACAAAAACAAAATGTTAGGTCATGTATAGAAGAGGACAACAAATGGCTACTGACAAGGCTAAAGATAAACCAAGATAATCAGGCTCTGGACTTGCAACATTCCAACCTCTCCGAAACACTGAGGTTCTATTCTGTCAACTAGCCTCTGCCACGCAGCTTCTTTCTAGGAATTCTAGAAATAGTTCACAGCCTCTTGTAACCAAGGCTGGCCTCGAGCTTATTATGGAGCCAAGGAAGCCTCTGGGTTTCTAACCCTCTTGCTGCATTTCCCGAGTGGTGAGGCTACAGGTACACACCACTGGGTTTATAAACTGGGTTTATTTGATGAGGGGATTAAACCTAATTTTTCCTACATGCTAAGCATTCTGACCCCAGCGCTACCTCAAAATCCCAAGTGACACGTACCTGATCCACGAGACAGAGGACAACCTGGCCCCTATGGCCAGGCCGAATCTCTAGAAAAGTGTCCTCACTCCATCAGCAAGGATCTTCCCAGGAGGAGCCAAGCTTTGGAACTAGACTGGAAAGCAGACACCTCCTATGTGTGAGCGACCCCAAGAGGCATCACTGCAGAGCAGGGATAAGCCCATAACCTGGACCCTGATCCTGAATGTACCCAGAGCCAGGGGCCATCACCAGATTGGGGTTTTAGGTTTCTCCTTACGAAAGCCACCATGCAGAACATGAAGGAACACATGTAAAGTTCTGGGCACGGAGCGCTCACTGAGTAACAGTGGCTAGCACTTTAGGAGTGCGTTCTCTGCTGCAGGCGAGATCTAACCACACACACACACACACACACACACACACACCAGCTGATCCAGTCTTCATCGACACCACGTAGGTGTGTGTTAGAGTTTTCCAGAGAAACAGACTAACATGATGTGCATAGAGAGGAAAAAGTATGTTTGAAACTGGCTCATGTGACCGTGGAAGCTTGGCGAGCACCAAGTCTGTGATGAGGGAGGGCAGGCGAGAGCCTGGGAACCAGCCGTCGTCAAGTCCAAAGGCAAGCTACAGCAGAGCTGCTGGTTGGCGTGTGTGTGTGTGTGTGTGTGTGTGTGTGTGTGTGTGAGTGTGTGTGTGTGTGTGTGTGTGTGTTCCATTAAGGCCTTCAGTTGGATAAGGCCCACCCACATTATAGAGGGTAATTGGATTTATTCAAGGTTCTCTGATTTAAATGTTAATTTCATTAAACAACAACATCATAGAAACACACATTTTAAGGCCTGACCAAGCACCATGGTCCACTTAAGGACATACAATGATAACGATTTAAAGAAAAAATAGTTATCTACCACAAAGTGGACGTAACTATCCCTAATTTACAAAGAAAGAACAGGTCCCGGGAGGGAGAAGGCTCCCGTGAGTCACAGGAGAGAGAGCCTGGCTCAGAATGCCTGGCTCCAGCTTGCCATTTTAACCATGACACTAAGTGGCCATTACCATAGGCATACCAATGTAAATTAAATTTCCTCATCCTTCTTTCCCTGGGTGGAGATGGAAGGCAGAGAAACTGAGGAGGCAGCCAGGGTGGGGCATAGGGGAAGGGGCGGGGTCCCCTAACTTAAACACGAGGACCAGGGGATAACGGGTATCCACTTCTGCTATAGTATCATATAGAACTATATATAGTATTATATGTGTTATTACATAGTATCATAGTTTTTTTATGTACTAAGGGCTATTCTATATTACAAGAAACAATCATTCTTGTCATTATTGTTGTAACCATGATGAAGAAACTGCAACAAGAAACTTCCCAAAGCCAAACAGGAAGCTGGAGTTGAGTATTAACCGGTGCACTAGATTTGAGGTTCCAGGCAAGCGCCTTAGTTATCATGACCCCATCATGACCCCAGTTTTGCTCCTCCAGCCCAGTTTTCCCTCTGGGCTCTGGCTGGCAGTGTTCATGACAAAACTAACTTTTCAGAAGGCTCCTCACTCGGCTTTTCACAAAATGAAATGCCCCTCTGCGGCAGCGCATACTGAGATACCTGGCACAGCTGTCAGTCATGTGTGCACACACATCCTACCCCACAACTACGTACATAAGCATGCTCAAACAGGCTTCAGCCTATAGCACACTGAGGACACCCAGCCTATGCACAGTTATCTGCAGGACCACCCATGTCCGCACAGCCCAACACGTGACCTCCCCCACACAGACACAAGATAGTATTTGTACACACAACACATTCAAACCTATATTTACAAGGACACAGAATACAATTACTTCCACCTCAATTTCTACCCATCGCGGCAGCACACAAGCCTCTACTTGGTCCCCTCCTCAATGAGATATAGGGGCCTTGAACACATACCCAAGGGTCAGATTCTCTTCAGTGGACTGTGCTTGGCGCCCCACCACGACACATACAGGAAGCACACGTGCCAAAATTGCTCGCTCTGTCTGCCCCAGCCCTGCACCCCAAAACTCACCGCACTAACTTTAAAAGATCACCCTCCCCCAACTAACTACACCCCGCCCACACCCAGGCGGTGTGCCATTTGGGAGAGCCTCCCCCACCCAGAAAGAATCTTCTTTGACCCTCCAGCGGCAGCGACAGCACCAGAAGACAACCTTGCTCTTACTTGGGAAGCACCTCCACCTGCCGCCCCCCACCCCACCCCGCGTCTCTGCAAGCCACTCTGGGCTGCAGCGGACCCCCACAACCCTGAGCAGCGCAAGCTCAGAGCTGGGGGAGGGTTCAGGTTTGTGGTATGGTGCAGCAAACCCAAGCCTCTCAAGAGCAACCCCTTCTCAGTTCCCTCTCACTTTCTCGCGCAGAAGGCAGAAGACCCTGCGTTTCCACAAACTCTTCCAGCGCTGCGCTGAGGACGCAAGAGGAAGCCACAGCAGTACCCAGCAGGGGCTCCTTCAGCTGGGGTGCAGGATCTGGCTGCAGATGCTGCAGGGTCTTAGACCCTTCCCGAGACACCCCCTACCCCAACACTACTTCCATTTAGGAGTCAGAGGGACTAAGGAGAACGAAGGTGTGAGTGGCAGAGAACTTAAGAGGGCAAGGGACAGAAAGAGGGCAATGGATGTGTCCCCAGGCAGGCAGAACCACAGTGCCGCAGGCCAGGAAGACATTCCTCCCTCCCCCGAAAGTCCTGCATAGGATCAGAGGGACGCGTGCATGTAGCTGGGAGGGGAGAAAGAAAAGCGCAGAGATTCTCTTACCTGATTTCCTCTTGGAACTGCCATAATCTCTGAAAAAGAAACAACAACAAATAGACATGGTTAGGGCGGGCGGGGGTCACGGGGCTGCAGCTATGGGGGCGCCCACCGGCGGGGCTGCAGCCGCTCCCGGAGCCTCTGCTCATGTGATGCCGCGGCCCAGCGAGCCGCGCGCTCCGCAGTTGCACGCACTGCGCGTTGCGATACCCGCCTGCCGCCCCGGCAGCCCGGCCTCCCCACGGCGCGATCAGCCTCCTCGCCCCGCCCTGCCGCTCCGCAGCCCGCACTCTGACCGCGCCCCAGCCTGCCCGAAGGGGGCTCACCTTTCCCTAATCCTCAATAGATCCCAGAGAACTATCAGATTCCAGTGCGCTTGCTAAACAGGTAAACTGAGGCTCCCGGGAGGGTGGGTGATCGCCAGAACCCAGGCTCTGGCCATCGCTGGGCCCACTCCCCCATCCCTGGAACACTCCACCTCCCAATACTTTGTGTTGCTAGCCCAGTGGCGACTTCCTCAGAATGTTCTCACTCCTGCAATTAGTTTGCTGGACCCTTTGATTCAATGGTGTCCTTCCTCATCCACCCAAGGCTCCCTCAAGACACACCAGCTGCTTTAAACCACTCCATCTTTGGGGAATGGCACAAGGGATGGGTAAACATCGCCAGCAGGAACAATATTTAGCATGTGTAGCTCTTTTTCTCTAAAGGCTAAGGCTGACACTGGGCCTTCTCTTCAGAGCACTTTGCAGGGTACCTAAGAGGCTGGGAGTGGTAGACATGGAGAATGAGCTTGTGAGCACGGTTCTGATCCGGTCACTTAAAATAACTGTTGGTAATCATAGGCGTATAGCCCCTCCCATCGCCATTCCACCTGCCCTGAATGGACAGCGTGGAGTCTGCCCAGTTCTGCCCTCGGGACTTCTCTAGGCCTAGACTCAGGCAGAGGCAGACACCCCAGAGCTGGCTGCTCCTTCTCTACCCTCCATTCCCCCAACTTCCCCCTCCTTAGTCACATGGAATTCGTGAAACCTGGATTCTGTTCATGCTCAGGGAAAAGCACAGGAGCCAGCTTGCCAGCTTGGGGCTTATCTGGAGACAAGAGGACTGCCCTCCTGTTCCCTGGGGACCGAAGAAAATGCCACTTGCTACCCATTTTTGGCCAAGCAAACTAGCTAGCTGGATCTACTCCCTGGAGGAGGGTCTTATCTGAGAAGGGCAGGCAGGCAGATGGTAGGGAGGGGACTCTGAGATTCAGATCCTTGAGGTCAGGAGGGCGTGGCCCTAGGCATCAGGAAAGGTGACTGACCTACATGGCTGGGGATGCAGGTACTGTCATCTCTCCATCTCCCAATGTTTGGGCAGGGCCTGGGAAGCTGCGCTTCTCGCTAGGTATTGAGACAGCCTCACAATGTAGCCCAGGCTGGCCTTGAACTTTTGCTTGCCTCTGCCTCCGGAGTGCCAGAATGAATGGCATGTCTCTCCTCCTTGTCCAGCCTGAGAACCCCACTTTGCAGATGAGGCTCACTCATTGCCCAGCAGCACCCACAGAGAGGAAGGGCTTGTGGGAAGACTAGAATCCGCAGGGCCTATGGGGCAGAGGTTACCCTGTCAGGAAGGGCGGAGAGCAGGGCCTGGTGACTCGGATTTGTATTCCATCACTCGGAAGAGGGAGGGCTCTCATCCTGCTCCTGTGCTTAATTTCATGTCAGCCTGACACAAGCTAGAATCGCCAGAGAGGAGGAAGCCTCAACTGAGAAAATGCCTCCATAAGATCAGGCTGAAGGCGAGCCTGTAGGGAATTTCCTTAATTAGTGATGGATAGGGGAGGGCCCAGCCACTGTGGGCGGGGCCGTCCCTGGGAGGATGGGAGCATGGTCCGGTGTTATATAACAAAGTGGGCTGGGCAAGCCATGGGAGGCAAGCCAGTAAGCAGCTCCCCTCCATGGCCTCTGCATCAGCTCCTGCCTCCAGGTTCCTGCCCTGTTTGAGTTCCTGTCCAGACTTCCTCAATGATGAACAGTAATGGGGAAGTGTGAGCCAAATAAACCCTTTCCTCCCCAATTTGTTCATGGAGTTTCATCCCAGGAATAGTACCCACACTGGGACACTTGCTGAAGCAGAAGGAAGGTCGTTAGAGGCTGAGCTCTATCTAGACTGCCTCCCATTTAGGGAGAGGGTTATTATATAGTGGCCGTTTCCCACCCAGAGAAGGGACTTTTCCCCAAGGTTTTCCACCGAGGCTGACCAAGGGGATGGGCAGGACCTGGCTGGCAATTCAGAGTCACCATTTTCCCAAAGGGCTTGCTGAGTTCAGGAACTCCACAGTCCTCTGGCCACTCCCGAGGCTGCCAGTGGCCAAGCAGGAGGTTTGCCCTCCCTTCAGTGGCTACCTTCTCCATGCTGAAGGCTGCCTGAGATTGTCTTTGAGCTGGTTCACAGCCCTAGTGGGGAGGCAAGTCCCCATGATAGGCAACAAGCTGTCCCCATGGGACAGGGAGACAAAGGAATGAAAACCACACTGGTGAAGCTCAGGCTTCGGTAGAATCTTCTAGAAAGCTGGCTAGAAATCCAGGGTGGAGTCACCCACACCGACTTGGTTGTCTGTTTCCAGCAAGCTTCCTTGGGATTCTGAGGCTGGGCCAGGGTTGCCTAAGCACCAACCCCTCAGGTAGCACTGCGTTCAGATTTCCCAAAAGGCTTCCAGACAGAACCTCTGGTCTTGCCCTACCATTGGAGACTGTAGCCCTCCACCCAGGGTTCCTGATCTTTCTCTCTGTCAGTGCTATGTTATCTCCTTTCGGGTGAGAAGGGAGAGGCTTATAGATACTTCCTTGTCCAAAATCAGTCAATGAGTAGCTGTGGTTGGGTTGGGCCCCAAACCGGGAATCCTGCCTTAGCTCTGAGGCTACAGACAAACTCTCAAGCCTCACCCTCCTGGAGCTGTGGATGTGGGAGTAGAAGGCAACCCCTGAGGCCTGACAAACACGTGGGTAGGAGGGGAGACTGGGTCTTGACTGTGGGGCAGCTGGGTCACAACTGAATGGTAGGGTAGCAGTTAGAGGAATCCATACGGTGCTGGCCTCCAGCCCAGGGAGGCATTGGCCTAATAGGAAATTCTTGGAGGTTTCCGATCGGGCACCTTTCAGCAAAGCCATTGGGTATTTTTAGCTGCTGGATGTGCCGAGAAACAGCTTAGGTATCTGGGACTCCCCCATCCCTCACATACCAGGCTGTAAAAAAGGCAGGGCACTCCCTCCCCCACATCAGGCACACCACCTCCTTCAATCAAGTCTGGCCTCACATGATGAGGGAGGCACCCTCGGTTGGGGGTCCAACAAGCCAAATTCCCTCCTCACTCAACTGTAGTCTTGAGTCGGTGATGACAGTTGCTGCCCTGACAAGGCTCCACTCCCTGGAAGTCACAGGCTAGCCTGCCTCTGACCTGCTGCTGAATCACTAAGTCCCAGGGAGCCACAGGAAGGAGCGGAGGAGGGAGGGCAAGGCTAGCATCTATCTCCCTTTGCAGATGCCAGAAGCTAATGTAATTGGAAAGGCCTCCCAGGCTCCATCAGGCTGTTCAGCCTTTCAGCTGGCCAGGGGTGACTAAGACAACAGGCACCAACTGTACTAAGAAAACTGGAACATGGGGCTTGTGGGGAGCAGACTGGGACTGGTGTTCCCTATGGTGCACAGGTGGATCTGTAGGAGAGAAGGCTGAGGTCCCCCTTCAGCTCTCTATCTGTGTCTGCCAAAGGAGAGTCACGCTGTTAATCTCTGGGCTCTTCCTGGGGAAATGCAATTGAGGATGAAGCCTCTGGTTCCAAACTAGGCTGCTTGCTGTGGTGGTGACCCTGAGCTACTTCAGCCCTGAGCTTCACAGCCAGTCGCAGGAGGAGGACAGCCACAGCCAGTCACAGAAACAATTCCCAGGCTTTGGGAAGGATAGGATACGCCGTGTTGATGTACAGGGCTATTCTGGAAGCCAAACAGCAGCCATTTTTGGGAGTTCAGCTGTTGACTGTTTACATCCCTCATGCAAAGGTGTGCAGGATCATGAGACCATCCTCTGAGTATCTGACTGCTCTATACCTACTCATATGTCCTAATTGCACAGGGCCTGAGGGAGGGCCTGAAGATATAGGCCGGTGAAGATTAGGGGAAGGGTCACCATCTATGTGGCTATGGGAGCACCATCATCCCTGTTGGGTCATTCTGGTGGCTTTTTTTGGGGGGGGTACACCCACACTCCAGAAGGTAACCCCCAACCTATGTTTTGCAAGTAACCCCAATAAGTACATTGGTTCCCTAGAGTGAACTCTGGTGGACTAGTAACTCAATTTGTCATATGAACCTTAGAGGTTGAGATAGACAGGACTAACACCTGTCCCTGGGGAGGAATTTAAGCAACAAGTGTGCTGGAAAAGGAATGTGACAGTGTTAATTGTTGATTTGACAGACTACATCGTCCAGGAAGCCAGCCTCCAGGCATACCTTTAAGTTGCTAGCCAGATGGCAAAGACTCTTCTACGTTGGGATACTTGGCACAGGGCGATGGCTCAGTATGCAAAGGGGCTTGCTGCCAATCCTGAGGACCAAGTTTGATTCCATAGACCCACACGGTAGAAGGAGAGAAATAGCTACCAAAAGTTGTCCTGATTTTGTGCTGTAGTTTCAAATACAGACACACACTAAAATTTAGTAAATGTTTTTTAAAAGTTTTAAAAACTTGGATGCTGATGAGCCCCTGAATATATGTCACCATTAAGCTGTATGTCCCCTCCTTTTTTTTAAAAATACATGACTCATCTTCATGTTGTAATTTTAGTATTTTTAGGGTGACTCATCTCATGGAATGGGCACACTCCTCTAGAATTGTCTATTGGGGAGCTTTTTTTTTTTTTTTTAGGTGGCCTCCATACATAGCCAGGGTGGTTTTGAACTGGAAATCCTCCTGCCTTGGACTTCCAAGGGCGGGGATTGTGGGCATGCATCAGTATGTGTAGCTTAAGCTGCTCTTTCTTCTCCCCTTTGA